TGGTATAGCCCCAGGGGAAGCCATGGACCCTAAACAGCTGGAGAAGTAATGGGGTCTGAGCCCCCTTCCCCACTAACCTTCTCTCTCCTGCCTAGGGTTGGGGGGTTGGAAGGGAGAGGTGTTGTAATATTCATTAATATTTACCATTGATATATCTTTTAGTATCGCTGGTGTTAATCCTAAACAGCTGTATAACCAAATCACCACACACAGACTATGATTTATTTAGTTAACCTAGAATACAGTGCTGGGCAATAGTTACTCCATTCTAAACCTCCAAGCCCTCATATTTTCCTAACATTTAGATTCACCCATTATACTTGCTTTTTGTGAAATCTTAAGTTGGGTTCATTTCTTCACATCATTCCAAGACCTCTCCTTCAGCCTCTCCTCTCCCAGCTCCTCTCCTCTTCTCTGGGATTTACACCAGCGATACTAGAAGATATATCAATAGTAAATATTAATGAATATTACAACAGAGAGGCTTTAAGGAACCCCAAATTAAAAAAAACAAACAAACAGTGCAACAGTTTTAAAATCAAGTGCAACAGTTAGTATCAGAACAGTGTCTCAGGATGGATGAAGTCTGAGTGGATCTTCCTCTCCACTACTTTGAGATGTGCAAGACGTATCTAGAAAATTCACTACTGTGGAAAATTATCTGGGCAGGGATGCTGGGGCCTTGGCGACTAATGACTGTGCTTGTCCTTCTGGTGGCTGTGGCAGCTCCATGTTCTCTTCCTGTCGCCAAGTTCCAAAGCTCCCGCAGGATGACTTTGGTGCTGTGGGAAGTGTCACTTCCCCGGCACTGCTGTGGCTCTCGTTACAAACCTTTCAGGTAGGAGGGTCTTCCTGGGTGTTTAGGCCCACGTTCTATTTCAAGGCTGTATATTTAGTTTTCCTAAATTTTCTTGGAGGCCCAGTCGCCATGCCTGTCCGTCTTGTAAGTGTCATGCCTTTGGCATCATCTGGACCTCAGCTAACTGCACCTCACCTGCTCCTTTCTGGACCTCTTCCAGACCTTCCAACAGTTGGAAATTTCAAGGAGACTTTTACTCCGGACCCTGTGGTGGCTGTCATCCTGCGTTGCTGTGGTTGTCTTCTCTGCCTCTCTGAGCTAGCAGGCTTTTGCCCCAGCATCTGGCTCCTGAGTCTTTACAGGTAAGATCAGATCAAATGCGTTTGCTGCTCATTGAGAGTTTGTTAAAAACAAAGGAGTGTCCCACCATAATCATTTCCTCTTCAAATTTTCTTTCTTTCTTTCTTTCTTTCTTTCTTTCTTTCTTTCTTTCTTTCTTTCTTTCTTTCTCTTTCTTTCCTTTCTTTT